TTATACCAGCCACCATGAAACTCATTCATATAATACCCGGCACCGAGACTTGTACCCAAAACAACATAGACTTGCTAAAACAAGGAATGGAGTTAACTACCATGGCATAAAATTTTATAATATTTTACCTAAGGAACTAAGATCACTAGCATGCAATGAATTCAGTAATGCTGTGAAAAAATTGCTCTTGTCGGCTGCTTTTTTCACCATTGACGAGTTCCTCAACCACAATTCCACCACGAATACTCAATAGTTATATTTCAAGCTACATTTCCTTTTTTGCTACTTATTCGAACCATGTATAAAATATTTATTTCAGTTCTATCTCTTATGCTATTTATTTATTGATTTTAACGTAGTTTGTAATAATTTTATCTTTTATACTTTTATTGTCATCCTCCCTCCCTATTCTATGGAAGGCGTTCCATGATCGCTCCAACATAATGCAGTACCTAGCTAGTTTTTGCTACTTTGTTGCTTTAGAGCTCAAAGACTGTCATTTGCAACCGGTCTTCCGACTGTAAGCAGTGGTATATATATATATATATATATATATATATGTTTGTTCTTCATTTTCGTATAGTGCAGCTTCTCCCTCATTTGTAGGAGCTTACGTGTTATTGTTCCCTATTTCATGCGGAGCCCTCCAACACAACCCATAAATATCTACACACCAATACAAACTCCCTTGTAAAAAGCTGTACAGCACCTCCCTACTTCACCATTCACACATTTGTCCGCGCACAGACCTAACTCATATCGAAAATGAAATTTTCGATGCAACTCAGCAATTGGAAACACAAAAATGTCTTTTATACGCTACAATACCATCAACATATTTATATAACTGTTCTCGGACTGAAGACATTATCTTTCCTTGTGGCCGGAAGAAAACAATTTTGGGGGTTGGAGGAGATAAAATGTAAATGAAATGAACAACGGTCAGCTACATAAAAACAACTGGTCTGCCGAGACCTCAAATTGAATAAGAAATGCGTCCTCCGAAATAGTGGAGTATTCTAGAGGGATCGTAATCACTTGGGATATAACTTCCTCTATTTTTTTTTCTTAGTATGGATCGTTCGATGGGGTGAAATGTAAAAATGCAGCAGTGGCTCGTTACATTGAGTCTGGGCTATTTAGATATATATGTATAGTATATAGGAAGGGGAGGAGAGATATAAGTACAAGGATCTTGAGCTCGTAGCTTCAGCACAAAGAAATTCAAGGCAGAAAAAAGTTTGTCCTTTGTTCATCGCGAGGTTTCAAAAATGTCTATCACCTTATCAATGACAGCTTTGTTCCAACGAACCATCGCTCTAGTTTTGAACTGTACAGAAAAGCGCAGATCAAAATGACCCGTCCAACAGATAATGGAATGGTTCCGTGGCTGGCAGTTCTCTGTTCCAACAAATGCCGAACAAATTCTCAACCGATTTTAAACTGGTTCTAACAGTTCTGGTTCTGATAATTATTGATAAATTTAATAAATTTGTTTCAGTTATGTTATTAGTAATATTAATCCTATATATTTATCTCGTTTCAGGTCCAATATTACCTTAATTGATAACATTGCACTTAATTTCTTCATCTGCTACTGTAACTGAGCGTGGTTCGTCTAAAGGCAAAACGACGAATTCTTCAAGCTCTAAAAAAAACTTCATACCATTTCTTTGAAATCATATTTCCAAGCTAGTCTTCTCTGCCATCTCGTTTTACTTCTTTATAAAGGATTTACAAAAAACAACAAATTAGACGTTTAGCATACGGAAACTTGACAATTTAAAATTTTTCTTCATTGAATCTTATGTTTACGACAACAAGTCATACAATGCTCTATTCGAACATAATAGTAAGTTGGGAATTAGCTTTGAACTGTACTTACCTCCAGCATGCGCAGAAATATAGTCCAGTATTAGTTCTGAACTAGTTCAGAACTGCTTGTTGCAACAAAACTATCGAAGACAATGTTTTGAATGTTGTCCTGTACTTTGGTTGATGATTTTGATATTGCTATTATACCTATTTGAATACCTGGATAACTTAAGCAAGAGGATCAAATTAATCGTATTTTTCATTGCTTATTATTGAAAACTACAGTTAAATATTGATTAACATGACGTTTTATTATTTTTAAGGTACATAGGCGAAACCAAGGCAACAATGGAACACCTGGAAAAGTCGAATTTCCCGTTTTACATCCAAACTATGAATGGACCATCATGACAAAATCCACGGACTGATTCATTCAACTTTCTTGAGTAATCCGCAATCGGTTGCAGAAGAATCCACGTGCTTATTTGACTACCAGGCATCAAAATGCATTTTGTCAACAAAAATATTGATATTTCAAGATAGGTATTATGCCTGTAATTCCAGCTTTGTACTATTTATATGAACACTATTTAAAATATTCAGCGTACATTTTGAAAAACAATCTCTGTCATACAAATGGGGAGAATCGAGTCGATGGTTTTGGTAGGACGCAAGAAAACTCTTAATCGAGTGATTTCGGACAATCGAATAAGGCCTGTATTCTTACTTTTGTAGTTGGTGAATTTAAAATTGACATTTTCGTTCATATACCACATAAGTATCAAAATAAAAGAATACAGGAATGCCGCTCCTATTTTTGAAATGAGCCATACAAGTACCCGCCGTTGGGTAGTGCGTATAAGAACCAGTCCCGAACTTGCGATGTTTTTGCAGTGAACGTGTATTACGAGTATTATTTGAAGGGGAAGGAACGTAGTGATTTTCGAGATGTATATTCAGAATACCTTTGATGGAGTGTACTCAGTAAAAAAATGTAAAAATATGGGATTTACACTGACCGATTCAACACTTCCCTCACTTGCGCGTGTCAAGTGCGCTTGATATGTATTTGTATTATATCGAGTTAAAATTTTTGTAGTGTCAATACTTTACTTGCCCATTGTTAGTAGAAAATGTGTACACCCACCACTGTTGGTAAATACCAATATATTGAGTTTTTACGATTCAGCAATTTTGCATTTTATTGCACCTTGGATTGTGGTCATTTTTCAGAATAGCTCTATTGACCACTTCGTAACATTTGCAATTCTATTATTCAAATTTCATCTTGGAACGTGTCGATTCCGCTCCTATGTAGTGGCACGTATCGCCCTAAGTAAAATCGATGGCGGCTATGAATGTCGATGGAGTTGTAATTCAAAGGACGCTGAGTTTCTTCCGTAAATTAAATTCTTGTATCGTTCTTATAATATCATAATATGCAAGGTGCTTTTTTTAATTCGAGAAGATCCAGGGCCTCTGTTGTGAAGAACAGAATTCCTGTACAAAGAAGGTGTGAGGTGGATTGACCCAAAACATCCCACGTATTCATATACACCTGTTTTTGTCAACTGTTCTTTAAGGTGCATTATAACAAATACTAAAAATTCATGGTATAACGATACTCCAAATAGGACTGTCAACGAACGCCGAGTCATCACTGTGACCGCTAGATCGCTTCGATTCTGACGATTGTATGGTCTACTCGCTACTGAAACCCAAAATATTCTTTTCATCCTTCTTACCACACATCCAACAGATAGCTATGCAGTCTCGGAGTGGTCGACTATGATAATAGATGGCGCTTATGCTATCGTATTTAGATTGACTTTATACCACGGATATAGGACATTTAAGTTGTAATGTTTAAAAAAGGTCATCCAATGACCAAATGACATTGAAAGACACGTTCAAGGTTATTTGGAAGCGAAGGAAGTTTTATTAAATGGAAACCCAGTTAATAGTTCAATACCACCCCACCTTATGGCCCTTTTGGAACCTTAAAACCTGGTTCTACAACATTTTTCTCTAGGAAACATATTTGTCGGTATGTTTTGATGTTTCCGCACTGTCTGTGCACACTGTATAGTTTTTACATATTTATCTAGTTGTGGCCTATGGCGTGAAATTATATTTATCTCAATATCTTTGAAAAATTAACATATAACGTTATTTCGGAACAAGCATTTAAAAAAACTCCCCGAACGACTATCATCAAAAATGGACAGTAGTCTTAAGGTAGAAGAAGAAAAAATGAATACTGGCGTCACTTCCTAACAACGATTAGAAAAGGGCAGTACTAGTTACCTTTATTTCGTGCTCCACATAGGTTAATTTATATATGTTATTTGGGCTAAATAGTCAGGTTTCACGTCCAGAAAACCTGCTCATTACACTTTTCCGCCTACAGATAAAAGACTGAACAAAGGTTTATCTTTAGTTTTGGCATTGAGACCCTACTTCATTGGACTGTGTATCAAGACACAGTTGGATGGAAGTAATAGCGACAGGCTTACTCCCTCGATGTGAACGCAACACGTGCGACCGCCGTCCACGTGAAAACGGAAAAATACAACTAAATCTGCCCACGGCATGATGAATTTCACGGTTACTGCTAACTCTCTTCAAACAATTGTATGATCAACTTTTCTGCTGCATTAAATATGGAATAATGAAAATATTGAATATGAAGCACTACAGGGTGCTACAATGTTTGAACTTTCCGTTACAGGACGTAGCTTTTCAAAACGATGAGACGAAACTAAAAAATGGCGTCAAGTAAGTTGATTCTGCACTTCCTTCGCAACGCTGGCATCAGTTCACAAAGAACACAAGTCAAGAAAAAATTTGGTTATGAAGATGTGTCAAATTAAATTAAATGGATGAAGTCAGTCAACCAAGGCTATATAATTTGCTTCCTGATTTACCTTGTGATCCTCTAGAAAGAGATTTGTTGATCTTATATTTGTATAAATAATCGGAAACCAATCATTTAGGTAAATTCTATAGTTTCTGCCATTCCATTTGGTATTTAAACTAAAAACTTTTTTATGTTATACCCACCTGATCCCATATATTACAGATGTAATTATATGATATTATGTTTCAGGTATTGATCAAACCATTTCACCTTGTCGGGATGAAACGCCCTTGTTTAATCCAGGTTATTTCCAGGATTTTTGGACTATCATGACTGAAATATCCGAGTTGAGATCTTCGCCAGCATGCATTCTGAGATCCACCCTCCCCCACCACTTTTTGAGCAGGTAATTTTAAATTCATCCACCCCCAAAAAATATTTTCTACGTGTTCAGAGACTCGTCAAAAGGATACCTGTTGAAAATAAAAAATATTAGTACCGAGCAGATATAAGCAATTCACTTAAAATTGTTAGAATACGGGGTATTGCAGAAAAATGGTCAGAAAAAGTACCTAAATAATAAAATAATGGATCAAGTCAGTCAACCAAGATTATACAATTTAGTTTCTGATTTACCTCCAGTTATCCACAAAATCGTCATCCTCTGAAAAGAGATTTGTTGATCTTATATTTGTATAAATAATCAGAAACCAATGATTTGGGTAATTCTATAGTTTCTGCGATTCCATTTGGTATTTATGCGAAAAGCATTGTTATACTTTTTTATGTTAGAGCCGTTTTACACTCAAGAGAATTACTCCGAAAATTATGGTCATAATTATGCTGAAAATTTGCATGGAAAAAATATTGAAGATTTTCTCTACAACCTGTATGACACAAGCAAACAAAATTTCGGAGTAATTCATATGATACGCCTACGCATTAGAGTTATATTTTCAAATGGACATAACCTTAACGGGTATGACGTCCAATATAATTGGAAAGACAACAGACGTCGATAATTTAAATTTATTTTTGAAATCGAGATCTTGGTTAATATTATAAAACTTCTCAATGCTTGGACTATCGCATCCAGCGCCTGACGCCGCAAATTTCTGTTTTTGTAATTGGGTGACTTCACCTTGTACAGGTTTGGCCATTTTTGGTACTCCTCCAACAACATTGTAAATTCTTCCCGATTCCACGACATTATGAATAAGCAATAACAATAAACGCTCCTTCGTACGACTCGAACAGGACCACTCCCACAAATGTTAAGTGAGGTTATGTTGTTGTTGTTGTCGTTGACATTTGATATTGACATGCACGGAAATAACCCTCTGCGCCGATTCTCGCGCATATAATATAGAACAGGTTTTATATTTTTACCATGAAAATTTTCACAAGAATTATTTTACGTGTAATACGACAGCAAAAATTTTCGGCATAATTATGACCATAATTTTCGGAGTAATTCTCTTGTGTGTAAAACGGCTCTTATACTATGTCACACATGTAATTATATTATATTATATGTTACTGGTATTGATCTAACCACTTCACCTTGTCGGGATGAAACGCGCTTGTTTAATCCAGATTATTTCCTGGATTTTTGGACTATCATGACTGAAATATCCGAGTTGAGATCTTCGCCAACATGAATTCTGAGATCCACCCTCCCCCACCACTTTTTGAGAAGGTAATTTTAAACTCATCCACCCCCAAAAAATATTTTCTAGATCCGCCCCTGGCTACCGATAAGACAGAATGACAGAGGTGAAAAATAAATATATACCCCACGTGTTTAGAGACTCGTCAAAAGGATACCTGTTGAAAATATCAGTACCGAGCAGAGATAAGCAATTCACTTAAAATTGTTAGAATACGGAGTATTGCAGAAAAATAGTCAGAAAAAGTACCTAGTCTCAACCAGTTACTAACAGCTCCTAAATTTTTGGGTGTCATCAATAAGTTTGACATGCATTTGAGAGCGAGAGCCACTCATATTTTACTTTTCTATTATTCGCTAAAGCGTATTCGACTTCTAGGTCAAATATTTCGTAGTATAACGAATTTTCTGGAACAGTTTTTTAAGTGTCTCATTTTTTAATCAGATTACTTAAAATCAAACAATCATGACAAAATATATAAACCAAAGGATCGAAGTATTAAAAGCAGCAAATTAAAGATTTTCATTTAATTCATATTAGAATATATGTATGTATAGTTTAAAGATGTTTGTACCTAGGGATATCTCTGAATCTTGGTGTAGTTAAATAATTCGGAGAATGGCACGTATGGTATGTCTGAAATGAGTTCCTTCAATATTTATTTTTCAACCCTTGTGGTTTATCCATTAATTTTATTACACTCTCGTGCCGTATGAAATATCTTTTTGAAGTCACAGAGAATTAATGGTGAGTAAAGTACCTACCAGGAGACGTAAGGTCACGAATACCTCGATATCCGAGGATATAACTAGGTTTTTATTATGTTCAATAAATTTTATTTGTTATACTATGTGTACGACGTGCAAGTGTATTAAAAAATATATTGATAGTTACATGCGCTTTTTGGCATTCAGTTCAAACTGCATATAATAATATATATATATATATATATATAATAAAAAATGCATATACTTTGCAGATGATTGCTTACTGATCATAAATTACTTGAATGATTTTGTTAAAACAATGGATCGCCAGTACGTGACAATGTTATCAATTTTCAACCAGGAATTCCGGAATTTAACATCAATCAAATCAATCAATACATGGTTTAACCAGTACTCACTTTACTTGAATCCTTCCAAAACAACGCTTATTCGTTTTCATCATGCTCAAAAAACTGTAGAAGAGTTTCAAGTTAGATTGGGTGACGATCAACTCGATTTTAGAGGAGAACTGAAATTTCTTGGAGTTCATTTTGATTCGAACTTAAATTGGAAGGCCCACTGCGAATTTCTCAAATCAAAAGTGTACTCTCAAAGCTATGTGTTGAGGCAATTAAAAACCATCTTAACAGCTGAACAATTGATGCAAGTTTATTTTGCTAATGTGGATTCGAGATTAAGATATGGAGTTTCTGGGGTTGGTCAACGCGCTCTGAAGATGTATTTGTGTCTCAAAAAAGATGCAGCCGATTATTAGCAGGCATCTCACCAACAGAAAGTTGCAAAAATATTTCATAAGTTTCAACATTTTAACAGTCCCTTCGTTGTATATATATGAATTGTTCTTACCTGTTTTTAAAAATAATGAAAAATTGAAGCGAAATTGTGATATGCATAATTATGGCACAAGGACTTGTAATAATTTATATGTGAACTTCAGCAAATCAAAAGCGGCATTTCGATCACCTAATATGATATAATGAGTCCGCTTCTTTTTAATAATTTACCATGCCACATTACCTCGGTTAAAAATATTAACGACTTCAAGTTCCAGTTGAAGCAATTTTTGATAAACAAGTGCTTTTATCGTGTTGATGAATTTTTTAACATTGCAATTTGAGATTGGTTGTAGGTTTGTAGCGAACGAAAAATTGACAATTCCAATACAATTATACTTTGTCTGTATGGAAATAAAGGTTATTGATTGATAACAGACAATGAGCACCCGCTGGTTTTTTCATCTAGATCAAAAAGCCATTCCTCTAGCTCGCAAAATAGTAAGTTTGAAGTTTGTAGCTACCCGTATACTTCAGGAATGTTTTCTTACAAAAACTGTCACAGGGGATTTTTTATTGGTATGGTTAGATTGGAGCTGTCTAATGACAAATCCAAATTGGCGTTAATATAGGGCACGAGCTTTGGTTGCCATTTTGATAACTGCGCTCAACGAATTATTTTGCACCCATACATTTCCACTATACAGTTTATGAGATATTGAACATCAAAGTTATGTTATTACATATTCACTTATAACGACTAAACTACTAAACTAAAGTAATCTAAAATTACAGAATCTCTTACTATTGCAACTCTTTGTAGAGAATACAATTTTCTACAGGATCCAAAGTGCGCAGCTTACTTCATCTTAAAGTAACCACACAATCAAGATTTTTCAGCCTAGCGCGAGATCTAATAAGAAAACTGTATAAACATTTGAGTTCTAATCGATCCAGGATCCAGCCAAGCAAACGTTTCTTGTTTTTCAAATTTTATTAGGATGGTAACAAACGCAACAGCAGCATCGCGGTAACCAGTGTTTATGTAAAGTAAAGCCTGAGTTATTCCGCCAGTTGCGGTTGCGGATTCGGCTCTCTACATCCTTCTAGCAACACTATCTTCGCGTTTAATTTAAAACGGGCAGTTTTCGGGCTATAAAAATGCACGCCTTCTGCTCTCCTGAAAAAGCGTCTTTTTATTTATTACCTCAGCATGCCCTACCACCATTTTTACAAAGCGGCACCCAAGTTCTAAAACCCGTGCGATGGAACAACGAATTATTTTCGTAAAATGATGAGATGCCAATCTGCCTCTTAGCGCGGCCAGAACCAATCAAGGTTCAAAACTAAGTCATGAGTTGCTGAAAATATATGAAAATGCCGACTTCAGGAGTTCAATGTTCAAATCATGAGATATTCTTAATATTTTAGCGCAACATCAGTAGACTGCATCATACACAGAACCAATTCCACCACCACGGTTGATGCTGGCCACCCATATGGAGCTTTAAAGTGGAGTATCATATGACCTCCATATCACTTAAAAACATGCTCCGAGAATGCGCCCATATAGCTATTTTGAAATTTTCTAAACTAAAATATTGTATCTATGCAACAATTTCATGTTCCCAAATGTCAGCTTACTAACTTGACTCGTTCAAAAATGAGTAGAGGGACCTTTTTCAAAGTCACCGTATAATGCGCAAATAGATTTAAGTAAGAATATATGATTAAGCAGCACATATCATGCATTGTATGTCAAAAAAAACAAGTTCTATAGGTATACTTCCTTAAATTGTGGTAAGGTTGGGTACACTCAGAGGCGAAGCTACCACTGTATTAGCTGAATCAATTATACGACCCCACCGTACGAAAAAAAATGTGTAAGATGTTTTTCACAATCTACCGCTAAATTTAAAATTCTCAAGCGCTGACAGCTAAAAGAAGAATTTCGAAATTAGACGTAATCAAAATATTTCGAAACATTCCGCTATGGATGGTGTAATAAAAAAAAACTGCCTATTTTCAAATTTTCCATGAGTCAAGATAAGCACTTGTTAAAGAAACAAAATGTTTGAGCTCCATAATGTTTCTGAATATGCCCTGATCTGAAGTAATCAGGAACGATGGAAGCAAATTATCGAAATTAGCAAAAATCCCCGCACAAAAATGTTTGATGACCCTTAAAAATGTTCATTTCATGACATAAATCATAATCCATTCGCCAGACCATGA